ATATGCCCATCACCAGGCAAAAGAGAGCTCTCAGGTATAGGATAGCAAAAGCGAGGATAGTTTCCACTTTCTCCCCATGTGTATTGCCCTGGAAGAATCTCAGACTTTGCATACATGGTAGAATTTCTTTATTGAATCAGTACTTCAGCTGAAGCTGTTTACAAATGATGCCTGTCAGACTTGGGCTGTCATGGAGAAAATGCATGGTGAGGCATATTGTGCTTGCTAGAACTTGACCATGATAGTAAGGTAGAGAAGGTGTAGATCGAGGTTAGGAAAGGGAATGTGTACAGCAACATGGAAGAGAAAAATTACTTAGCCTTATATAAGAATATTTTATGGAATGAATATTCAGTTTCTTGTTATTTACAGTATATTTAACATTTTATTTCTGCAGGGGATTATTTTTCTTTTGATAATTAGAATCATAATTTTTCCCATTGTGGGCTGAGAAGAGAATTTACATGTAATCTCCTTGAGAGTAAAACACTGCGTCATATTCATTGTTACAGCTGCAGAAACCTTGCCACAATACCTAGGTTATATTAGGTTTGTTCAATTCAACCGAATTCCTGAATATCATCAAATTCAGATTAGAAACATAAGGATTTTTAAAAAATAATTTTCAAGTTCTCAAACTTCTTACAATACTGTTTGCTAGTTTTTAGCAAGCCACATAACCAGAAATAGTAGCTTAGGGTCTAAAATTTGTTGCAATGTGAACATCGCTTGCTCTACCCAAAATGTATATAAAGTGAATGTCTTAATTATGGACATCTGAGTAATACCATATATAGTTAATTTGCACAGGGCAATTTTGCATTAAATAAAAATATATCATAAATGGTTTCACACAGCTAAGTTATCACAATTACCTGGATATTAAAAATCAGTCTTCATACTAATAGTGGATGTAAAATTGATTTGTTACTATACATATCTGACAATCATTTATTAAATAATTCTTTTAAAACTATATAATTCTATAAATTCTATAATAAGACCCAATGCTTCCTTTAACCTCATGAAATGAAAATGTACCCATGGTATCTTTCCTGTATACCTTAGAGACATTTCATTTCTATAGACATTATCATACAACTTCCCATAAGATTTTATTAAAATTTAATTGTGGATTCTCCCAGACCCATAGCAGGATAATACATTTGTAATTATTTTAATAGTTAAAATATAGTTTTCACCTTACCGGACTAATTTTTTGTTTTTAGGAATCTATCAGAAATCTAATCAATCCAGAAATATTTTTAAAAGAGAATAATGGAAAATATTCATAGCTTTGTCTTCATAATATGACTAGAAGACTGAAAGAAAAGCAGGGGTTAAAAATTATCCTTTAACCACCCACACACCCCTGGATTTTGAGAAGAGGTTTCTTTAATACTTTTTTCTTACTGCAGTATTTGTTGCTTAAGGAAGTCTGTGGGTGGATAAGATGTTATTATCCCTCCTACACACACCCGTTTTCTTATTTACAACATTAAATCTCCATATATATAAGTACTTGAAACACCAACCCTTTTCTTTCAACTAAGTTCTGAAATTCTTTGGAATCTGGTCCACACATTACCACACATTACCTTCCTATAGGACACATTCATAGTAAATTATAGGTTATCCTGATTTTTTTCAAGGGTGAGTCTATCCAAAAAGGGTGTCTGAAGTGGATGCCTTTCCAATTTTTTTTCTGAAAACAGAATTCCAACTTCTTGTCAGAAAACAGCAAGTCTTATGCTCAAAACTAATAATACAAAATTATTTTTTGGATTAATGAGTTTCCTTAAATACTGAGAAGATACAGTCATTAACATGGGAAAAGTCAACCTTTAAGATTTGTATGCAGTATTTCTTATTACACTACAGATTACCTTTGTAAGTGAATACCCATTTGTAGTTCATGCTGGAAACATAATAAACATGTTTTACCTAAATATAGTTAGCTCCTTGAATTGTTTCATCTGAATAAACAGATCGATAGTTAAAAATTTTTAAACTCCCTATGAAATACGTATAATGTTATGAAACCTTTACATCCCTTTCTAATTGTAGTAAAAATGTTCCCTCAAATACAGTAAATGACAGATATGCCCTTGTGCAAATGGGTTAAACTTAAATTATTTTAAAGTGATCAGGCCTAATCTTCATTGCTAATATAAAATTCATTCATTTAAAAAATACAAGACAATTTTTAAAAAGCAAAAAATTTATGTATTTTGAAGTGATTTTGGATTTGGAGATTTAATGATATCATTTATAATAGCCACACATACGATGTGTTTTGCAAATAAAATTTTTAACTTCACCATTCAGATCAATTCTTTCCAGTTGGGAATTATATTAACTTTTGTTAAAAGAAATTAGAAAAATAATCATTAACCACCCAAAGTGCTTGCAAAGATGCCCCAATTATTAACTAAATACACATTACTGAGAATATATCCTACAGAGGCCAGTTAGAACAATCACTAGCTAGGATTGATGTATTAACCAAACAATCACAGGTAATTTAATCACTTCTGGTTAATTCAAAGGAAACTGTTTCTGGCTCTTCTGATACCTTGATAATAGGAACTGTCAGAATACAGAGGCAAGTCCATCTTCTATGTAGCAGAGGTAGTGAGTCAAATATATTTTATGAACAATCCAATGGATATGTGAATTGGAATTCTGCAGGTTACTCTAAACTAGGTTTTTAGGTTATAGTTATCCAGCTTTTTTGGCACCTTGTAATAGAGTAAAAAATTAAAGAAAATTAAAATCATTGCTATTTCAGAGCAAAGTAAGACAAAGACTAGAAAAAAGTAATTTAGTTAAAAAAACTTGTTTGCTCTCTAATTTAAAAAATAGTTTATGCAGTAGGAGTAAATACTCATTATCACAACTTTCAGAACAACAACTATTTAAAAAGAGTACAACTCAGAATTAAATAGGTTATATGGTCTTTTCTTTTTGTAAAGCAATTATCTTTAAGAAGTTGCTTTGTTTTTTTTTTTTCCCTCGAAGTTACTATAAAGTACCTATAATTGAAAGGAAGAGTAAAAAGCAAACAGGAGAAGAAAATAAGAAAAGGAAAGTGGTTTCCAACTTAAGGACAAAGTTCAAGTTATAAACATCATATCCTTGACATCAAAATTATTTCCTAAAAAATTACCTTATTTAGATCACTGGATAACATAATGAACCCCAAATTTCAATATGGAATGCAACAAGGAAGAGTGAAGTTGATTTCATTTTCACTTGCATGAGCTAATTACAATGAACGAAAGCTGGACACCAGTGTCTGAGACATAAACTATGTCTTCTTAAAAAATCAATTAAAATGAGGAAATGAATGTGATATTATAAGGGACTCAAATAGAAAAAACATATCATGACATTTTAATAGAAAGAGCAATGAAGATTTTCTGTGTTCTGTGGTCTAACTTGTTTTGCTTTTGAAGATGCTAAAGAATTAACAAGACTTGTTGCATGAAAAGCGGCACAGTTGAAACTCAACACAGTATCTGCAAAATCAGGTAATCTATATATAAAGACTAAATATATCTGGGAAATAAACAGGATTTTGCATAGGAACAACTCCCTTCCAAAAGCAACACTTTTAAAATTGATTAATTCCTTAATATTCCAATGGTGAAATATCTACTTAAGCAACTATCTTTTTCCTTTCTTTTTCTCTTTAAGATTTAATTTGTTCTTTTAAGCTCTTCTTTTCAAACAGCTAGAGAAGCTTTCTTAGGAATACTATATTAATCAGCCAGAGGGGTTGGCAGGAAAACAATTTCTTAGAAGTAGTGAAAGACTGTCCTAACATCAAATGACTGTCCAATGTCATGTAGCACTGAAATAAATTTTATGCTCTCATGGTACTAAATCTTGACTCCTGTTCAGTTTTAGTCTTTATGGGAAAAAATTGTGCTTCAATATTTTGCTGCAATTGTGTTCTCTAGGTATTGTTTATTTAAACTAGTTAAGCCTTTCATTACATAAAGCACCTTGATAAGTCTTTGAAATATTGCCCAAACTAGGTAAGGTGTGATAAGTCAGATCTTTCCTGAACCCAAAACCTTTTATTTATCTTTTATCAAATTCTGCATTTAAAACCTAAAATTTACTTTGAATCATACATTTGATCAGTTTATACAACTTAAGCAAGGCCCTAAGAATGTATGTTTTTGTTCATTCTCTTTTTATTTCTTGTTGAAATTTTATATAATTTTTTTCTTGCTGTGTATAAGGGTGGAATTTTGTTTGGATTTCATTTGAAAAAGCATTTTAAGAAATTTACAATGAAGATTCAATTCATAAAGTCTTATTTGGCAGGCAGTACATCAGATCAAATTTTAAAAGTTTCTGCCTCTCTTTTATCTTATATACTTCCTTGAACACATAATTTAATAATGAAAACATGTCTTACTTAGTAAAAATTAATTTAACCAAAGAAGTAAAGATACTGTATTATTTTCATTGGCTTAAATTCTGTTTATCATTTTTACTTTCTTTTATGAGAAGAAAGTTTTCAGTTTCAAATTATTGATTTGATAATTAAGACCTGTTCGCATGGTAGTTATGTATGTGTTAATATCAATACTTGGCAATTTAGGGCAATATTACATATTTTAAAATCTCAATATTTAAGTGATTTCTTCATGAATTCTTTCTGCCCTGCCAAATGATCTTGGAAGCTTCTGTTAGGAAGTTTTGACATGCAAATCTATCTCAAAGATAAGTTGGGCACAAACAAATAAAGGAACAAGAAAGATTAGATGAGGTAAAGTTCTTAAGTAAGATTCATAAATATATTAAATAATTTGCATGGTATATACATTTGCTTAATAAGTAGAATGATACTTTTTCATTTGCCTCTTTCCTAAAATGCAAAATGTGAATTTGTCTCAGATATCTGTAATGGTAAATACATAAGCAAATATCCATAAATGATATCCACATGTAAGTCTTCAAATATATAAAAAGACAAATCTTACCTCCATCTCCAGATCCTGATCCTGCATCTGGCGGGGGGAAGAGAAATAATTTGGTTTTGTTTGAAAAACATATTCAAAAACTATTTATGACTTTATTTAGTTCATGTTCACTTCCTTTATTAAGACAGTAATATAATGGACAAAATTACTAATATTTAATCTGAAAGTGTATATTCACATCAGTTTAATTTAATTTGTGTAATATAACTTATCAAATAAATTTTCTATTATTTTCATTCTTAAACTTTGTAAAAAATTATTATCTAGCTTTGATAGTATAGCCTATTTTAATTATTACATTCTAAAATTGACTGTGTAAAATCTGTCATATTTTTATTTTAACCAGGATGAATTTGGTGCCATTAACAAAAAAAAAAAGAAAGAAAATGAAATGCTTATAACAGTGAGATTCAGAAATTAAACAGGCTAAGACATGTGGCAAATAAACTCATAATTAAGGCTTATATTATTGTAAATCGCATATACACAAAAAGAAAAACAGTTTATAGATAATTATCTTTTTATATAATTGCTAATATGTTTTCCAAATACCACAATTGTGGATGAGTTTATCTGCCACCAACAACATCCTTTGTTTTTTTTAATTAATTAATTAATTTTTTATTATGTTAATCACCATACATTACATCATTAGTTTTTGATGTAGTGTTCCATGACTCATTGTTTGCATATAACACCCAGTGCTCCATTCAATATGTGCCCTCTTGAAGACCCATCACCAGGCTAACCCCTCCCCTCACCCCCCGCTCCTCTAGAACCTTCAGCTTCTCAGAGTCCATAGTCTCTCATGGTTCGTCTCCCCCACCGATTTCCCCCCCTTCATTTCTCCTTTCCTACTATCTTCTTTTTTTTTTTTAACATATAATGTATTATTTGTTTCAGAGGTACAGGTCTGTGATTCAACAGTCTTACACAATTCACAGCGCTCACCATAGCACATACCCTCCCCAGTGTCTATCACCCAGCCACCCCATCCCTCCCACCCCCACCACTCCAGCACCCCTCACTTTGTTTCCTGAGATTAAGAATTCCTCATATCAGTGAAGTCATATGATACATGTCTTTCTCTGATTGACTTATTTTGCTCAGCATAATACCCTCCAGTTCTTTGTTTTTTTGAAATCATTAGAAGAGAGAGATTAACTTTTGTCTTTGTGTTTAAAAAATTGGATACATCCTAAATGATGCTGGCAGAAAAAAAGGATACCCTCCTTCTGCATTTCTCTTTTTTTCTTCTCTCCCCTCCTTCCTACAGAATTGCAGTTGGTCAAAGTTGTCTATTTCTGACAACTGAGTTCCCAGAGACACCCAGTTTTCTCACTGGGAGTCAAGACCATCGATTTTCCGTCCGGTTCTACCTCTGAAGTGTAAACATCATCTGCCTTCTGCTTCCCTACTTCTTTTCATTCTAAATACATTTGGTTATGTATTTTTAATGTTAATACTGGGGAATAAGACTAATATTGGTATTTTCTGTCTGAAATGCCTCATCTCACACTGAAATCTCAACCAGGATTCAAGAACTATACAGAATGCCACTTCTATGAATTTGTGTTTGATGCTTTAGTACAATTTAAGAAATAAAACAAAGCAAAAACCCAAGCCTCCATTATTTCTACTTGTTTGCCTCCACAACAGTTTATGAGAGGCATGGTATAAAAAATGATATGGTATATGAAAATCCACAGAAGGTTGACATATGGAAGAATAGATGCCTCCTTCAACATTCATGCTTGTCGTCGTGTTAGGCATTAGCAGTGTCATGAAGGAGCAGTAGTTTAAATAATGAGCCTTGGTGGAGACTCCTATTAACTAAATTCACAGGGTCTAACACTGTATTGAATCAGAAAGCCAAGTTATTTATTAACTGCTAATGTGACTAAAACATATGTCTTTAAGCCAGCAGATTCTTTCCTTAAAGCAAGCTAATTGGTAAAACAACTTATAATAAAAACCCTTCTTAGTAAATACATAATCAAATAAGGATTTTGATCATATGCCTTGACTATTTAATGATAACAGATCAAGAAAGGCTAAAGCATTTGTCACCATAATAGAATAGTCCTGTCAACTGAACTGCTAATCATAACACATGGCACCATCACTTTTGGATGGGACAATGCTTGAATGGTCAATGTTTGTACACTTTCACAGTAAAATTTTAACTAAATTTCTTTCAACTAATTTGAAAGTTTAATTCAGTATTACTTATAATGATCAGAGGCGAACAGGTTGTACTATTATAGCACTAATATATTTTACGTGTTTTGGTTGAATGTGTAGAGTTTCTCTTTTCTTCCTCATTACAACTGTAAACTTCTTTAAATCAAGAACCATGTCTTGTTCAGCTTTTTATACTTATATGCACATAAGAGGAAATACATAAAAGCTTATAGATTCAAACCTTCAAACATTACTCATTTGGTAACATAAGGAATGTTATCTAATCTTCCTAAGCTTATTTGTCCTCTACTCAATGAGTATAATAATAATGTCTATCTCATTGATAGATTTTGAGACTTACTGCACAATAGCAAATTTTAAATGATTATCACTGTGTCTGGAGCATAAAAATTAAGATTTTGAATAAACATCTTGCCTATTCATCTACAGGTTTTCTAATAAATATATAGGGTTTGGAAAAAGCAAAAAAAGAAATGACAGTAGTATATTGGCTTGTATTTCTCATGTATCTTTCTAAAAAGTCAAGGGCCATGGTTCTTAAGACAACTTTTGTTTGATTTGACCCAAATCAGGTAAGTAGGAAACAAAGGAGGAATAGGTGGAAAAAATAATCACAAGTCCACCAAATCATTATGAAATAATGATGGGAAGCTTTAATGGTTTCTCTAGTATAAAGTAAATAAGTAGCCTACTGAGGTCTTACTGGTGAGACAGAAACACCTAAGAAGTCATGCTCTTGATCCTGAAAGTCTGAACTCCTAGTCAATACATTTCTTATAACACAAAAAAGCGAAATTGACAGCAAAGCTATTGAGCAAACTGTCCAATAAGAAACCATTTTTGGACCAAAAAAAAAAAAAGATTTGTAAGTTCAATGAAGTATAAAAAAGTTATATCTTCTACTGCCTCTTATTCCTAGAGATCACAATTTGCCATCTCTATTCAGTGTCAAATAGCATTAAAAAATAAATGGAAAATCTGCAAAGAAAAGAATGAGAATTTATTTTAGATCAAAAGTCAGAACTCTAATTTATTTACAGTCAGACCTGGTTAATCAAAATTACTTTGGTTCCTCCATCATTATTCAGATCAAAAATCTTTTAGATTTATAAGTCAATGGGAGACTTCAGCAAGACTGGCTTACTAATTAAATCCTAAAGAATTCTAAGTATGTGAATCAGCTAGGTATGGATTACTCAATTGTGATTAAATGTTCTACTTGGCTAAATATTTATTTTCATAGTATAAACAACACATTAGGATGTAGCATGTAAAAAGTTGAATGAATCAGGAGAATGTGATTGCCTGAGCCTACAAGAATTTGGAGGTTGGCAAGTAAAAAAGAGAGATTTTGGTACCAAATATTGTTAGCCACACCAGGACTTCCTGAGTCCATTTTGACAACTGCCCACTGATTCTCATTTGGCTACTGTCAGAGACAGATTGGTATCCTATACGATCTTGAGTGGATAAACCCTTTCCTCAGTACTCACTGGTGTTGCCTCTATTATTCTTGGGTTCTAAGAGAGTTTCCATATTATTTTTTCCTATGCAATTTGTCTTAAAATTTCACTTTAAATTTTCTCCATAGATATGGCAGATTGATTTTTCATAATTAGTTTGCTCCTTGTTTTTCTTTCTGCTTCCCCCATCTTTACTATAAGAGCAGAATGCTGGTCGTCCTCCTTCCCTACTGGAGAAGCAAGTCCAATGACTCTCACCTGCTGCTGTCATTTTCATTCATTACTTCTCAGACAGATGGAGTGGCAATGATCTGTTTGCTTTAGCAAGTAAGAAGCAAGTGGGGCACCAGAAAGGACATTCACTTCATGAGGCAAAGAATCATATAAAAGAAAAGACTACTTAAAAACCAAAATCAAAACAAAAAAGCCTACATCATCATCTGTGAGTAATAATATCATTCTCTTCTAATTCTTGGGAACTTTAGTAGTCAATGGTATAATTTGGAACACTATCAATTACTAACAATCAATAGACTTAAGATAATCTTTTAAAGAATACAAGCCTTTTTTCTTGCTCATTTACCATCCTGCCCCAACCTACATATGACTTTTAACATAGTTCCCTAGAATAGAAATACTTGTTATCAAAGAAATACTTGTTACCTTTCCAATAAAATAGATTTTTCCTCGCACTATTCTATATTCTCACTTTTGAAGAAAGTTCATACTTTGTGTCATTATTATTTTTCCCTGATATGCTTATGCCATCCAGTTCCTCAGAAATTATGACTTTCTAGAAAGAGGCTTATGTGTCATTCAAGACAATTATCATGGATACTAAAGTTTCTTTAATATATGTGATTCTAATATGTCAAGCCTAACCTGTAAACTCAGCTTTATTTTAAGGCATTGCTCTATCAAGTTGGGCTTTGTTCCCTTTGTTTATTTTTCTTCCTGTAATGCCGTTTAGCTCTAACAATCACTGTACACGAAAGGAAAACCTGAAAAACTGAAGAGCATATGAGGTCACTCTTCCTCCTCACTTCCTTCAGAGCATTCTTGGTAAAGACAACTAAAAGCCTTTGAGGAATCCCAGGCTGACTGTCTTAGAAAGGATAGATGTCCTTCACAAATACATTCTTCAATATAATCAGCTAAATGGTAAGAAGAACATTTTATAGCACTGCTGAGGTCACTCACATTTTCACTTTCAAACCCAGATCTGCAAACTACCCTCCAGCAGACGATGCTATTGTTCAAAACAAACAAACCAACTTTATGTGTGTGTGGATAGGTTTCTCCATATTTGACACCTAGGCAGGAAACCTAGATTTCTAATGATATTATTCAACTGTCTGCACTTCATTAAATAACATATGTATTAAAATCAACATCCTTATGGCCTTATGGCAGATTTTCTCTTTCTTCCAGAAGTGATTTGAAATGTAAAAAAGACAAAATAAGAATAATGTATGCTTTGTACAAAAGAATGAGAGGCTTATCCAGCCAATATATAGTCTGAATTATTTATTTGGAGATAACATAACAGAAAAAGCAAGACATGGTTTCCAAAGGTTTCAGGGAGTCTTTAGGATCACACACATACCTGTGGCACATGATCCTTCAGACACTACAAGTATTTCGCTCTGCTGTTTGCAGGCAGCCTGCCGCAAGTAGCACTCATTCTGGTAGCTCTCCCCATTGGAGCCACACACAGGCACGTAGTCACTGTTGCACTGTTTGGGGGGGGGGGACACAGAGATAGAAGCTTATGGTTAGTACTGGAGTCTGCATACCTTTGACACCTCGAACAGAAATAATCATTTACAAAAGAAAGCAGTTTTCATTTTCAGCAATCTCCATTGTATCCATTAAAGTCTTTGACCTTGCAAGGGCATCATTCAAAGATACACAAAAGTAATGTCAAGTCAGCTAATCAGTCATTTGATTCAGATGGGGGAAAAAGAAAAAGCTTCTAAATTGATCAGGGTAATTCCAACAAAGTGATCTGGGCAACAATACTGAAAGGGTATAGCAACAAAATGTATCAACATTATTTAATACTGTTTTTCAGATATACATCCATCTGGCTTGGTGGAAAAAATCAAAACATGCTATAATATTCAAGTTATTAAAAATAGGTAATGCCTATCTGTGTTTAGAATAGAAGTATACAGCTGAAATGCCAATGAAATCAGTCACTCCTTAGTATGTTTTTTTTCTGTTTAATTTTAATCTTACAAACTTGTAAATCTTTGGATAAGATATTTGGATTACTAATTAATTTGTCATATATCTTTAGATATTGGCAGATATAGTGCAAGAAAAAACAACAGAATATGGAATACAGGGGGAAAACAACAACTATTGACCTCTATGTAAACTTTATTGATTATTGGAAAGTATGACTATTAATATATATTTCGTAAAGAGAAAAGTTCATTTTTTTTTAAGATTTTATTTATTTAATTGACAGAGAGAGAGAGAGAGAGAAACAGAGAGAGAGGGAACACAAGCTGGGGGAGTGGGAGAGGGAGAAGCAGGCTTCCCGCCGAGCAGGGAGCCCGATGCGGGGCTCGATCCCAGGACCCCGGGATCGTGACCTGAGCCGAAGGCAGTCGCTTAAACAACTGAGCCACCCAGGCGCCCCGAGAAAAGTTCATTTTTAAAACAGCCTCGTTACATAAAAGTACACATTTTACAATAGCAATTAGGCAACCTACAAGGTATACTCATCATAATATAATCATCACACTCTAAGGCATTAGAGATACTTGGCTGTGTCCTATACCTGCTAATTACACTAGAGATGTGATTATCTCATGATTACTACTACTGATGTGTTTCATTGTTTAATTGTAACAAATGTAATAACCAAGATGATTATTTAAAAATATCCACCTATGCCAGAAACTAAGTAAAGCAAGTCATACATACACATGCCTGTGAAAACACTTTTCTGTTTTCCAGTTCTTATTAAAATATTTGGATTTTTGATGGCTGTAAATTTATAACGCATACAAAATAAATGAATGATCTAGTGAGATGGCTAGGAAAGTTTTAATATATATGATAATAAACCTAAAACTCTATCATAAGTTAAATTCAACTCAAAGATATATGCCCAAAAAACAAATTTCCAATAAGGTTATAATCTTATAATAAAATCCAGAAATTTATTTTTTTTACTCTATTTCCTTAGAATATCTGTACTTCTTCCTTTTCCATCAACCATTTAACTCTTGATCTTTGCCTTAATGTAACAATGGCTTAATCATCCTAGTAATTTATTCATGAAATGGGATAAGTCAATGTTCTCTGAAATGAAAGTCTTATTTTATGAGTCTTACTTTGTATCTGTTATTGAAAAACTGAAATATAGCTTAGTAACAGTGATATACTTTTCTTGCAATGGTAAATCCAAATTGTACGACACTCATATTATAATCTCTATAATTGTTAACACAATGATTTAGATGTTAAATCATATCTATTTAGAAATTATTTACATGTGATTAAAATGATTTAAATATTTTAAATATGACATATTTTAGAAATCTTTATTTCTACAATTTCTAATCTAGATATTCTGAAAGCCCTCTATACAGTATTTTGTTTTCACAGTTACACAATTGGCTCCTAAACTCAGTCTATCTATGTGACTATATTTTAAAACTGTTTGGATTAGAAGCTTTTACTAATGAGGATCTTTAACTCAACAGCCATTCATTTCTGATCAGGTGATACCTGTATAAAGGCTGCCTTCCACAAGATTTCTGAATAGATATGTATTTTTTAACTTACATGTGAGAATTGACCTACCATAGGACCCAAAATCATTATCACTACTGAAGAAAAAAGGCAATGGCAAAATGTCAGTGAGGAGTCGAATTCTCCAGTGAACAGTACAGAGGTAACACCAACTAAATGGGGCTGGTGCTCATGTCAGAACCATAGCCTGAGAGGCAGGTAGATGGACAGGTGCTTGATAAATGTGCTGTGTTCTGGACCAGGGAGGAAATATGAGGACCCACTAACACTAAAATGGTATCTGAGCTAATGGAGGAGAGATCAGAAAGAAATGAACAACTGGTAACATATCATAGTCATATTCAGTAGACTTGCTGACACTTTCAGTAGGCAGAAGAGAGTCAAAATTAGTGTGATGGCTGGACTAGTTAGTTTCTCATGTTCGGGTCCTAGCATTGTTGTCTTTGGCTACCTTTTAATCTCCATCTTCAAACCTGCTTATAACACTTTGTAGATTATTTGGGTCCACATTTTCTTCTCTCCAATCCCTGGAACCTCTCTATTTATCTTTCTTATCTACTTCTGCAGAATACTCAGATGTAGTCAGTGGACGGGGGTGAGGGGTGGGAAGTATTTATTATCTCTGTCAAGTGCTAGTACACAATGCTGATATGCATCTTAAAATATGGAATAAACTGATAAAGCACTCATATGCCACTTCTGAGCGATGCAGTAAGCCAAATGTGAACAGTGCGAAAAACAGAGCTGCCAAGTTCCATGCACAAGCCAAAAGGGAGATTTGTATGGAGCTGAAAAGAGCTTAACTGTAGATTATCAGCACGATGTTTTTGGCCTTTAGTACCATGACTTGCACTCATTAATATGAATAATACGAGGAGGAAGCATACTCTAAATCATTATGGCTCAGGAATAGGAGTCTGGTCCTAGTTTCACCAATTTCTCTCACTGCTTTGGTGTAAGGCCTTGTGTACATCACTCAACTATTAAATACTTAACAAGTCTATAGCTCAGTTTCCCCAACTGAAATGGTTAACAAGGGTATTTGGGAGGATTAACAGAGTCATGTTTTTAAAATACTTTGGAATATTCATCTATAAAAAGAAATGCAAATTATTTGTCTCATGATAAGCATTTTTTAATTTGAATATAGTTGATGTACCATCTAACACTGACACTAAATGCACATATCTAAAATTAGAGAAATAAAGGAAAACAGAATAACCCTGCTCATAAAAATAAGCTAAGTATTATGTTAAAATATGCCAAATTATTGGAAATAGTTTTTAGTGGTAATCATGATACTGCTCAGTTTCAGACAAAGGGACAGATTCAGATGTTAAGTGACTTGCTAAAGGCCACATAGTTGGCTGGTAAGAGAAAAAACAAGACTCAGGCCCAGATGCTTAGACCCATAAATGTATGTGTTGTACAAACTTCCTCTCAGGGGAGAAGTGACTGTATTTTCTTAAGATGTTATAAAAATCTTAAGTTTATTTTCCAAATATGTGTTTTTCAGTGGAATGATTTTGCTCCAAAGTGTCCATATTGCTTAAGAAAGTAGCTACATATCACACTCATGGATTCAATGACTTGACACTGTAGAATATATGGAATTCATTTTACTACAAATGAACAAAAAATGTATGTGAGAAGTTTTTCCATATGATTTATTGCTTGTTTGGTTAATAAAGATCTCTTTCAGCTGAGATTTCAGCATCTAGAAGCCATGTATAACTTCTTTTTTATAGATTGTCGGCACCTTCCATAGAGTCTGGCACGTAGAAGGTACTCCACAGATGTTAAGTGAATTCTTGTTATATTCCCAGTTGTCAAAGGCTTAAGAATAATGGCTTAGGATATGGTATGTTTCTCTTCCAAAAAAGAAAAAGATAAAAAACCTGCACATGTCCCAATCCTTTGATCATTCCATAAGTAACTTTTTCTTTTCTGTAACCACATTTCTTTAAATGAAAGAAAATATGACTTTAAGAGTAGGCAAGCCTGTGGCTATGGTGAAAGTGACCCTGTGTGACTTCTCAGGCTAGGTCATTAAAGGATACAAGATCTATCTGGCCCTTTCTCTCTTTCTGGATGCCTGCCCTTGACACCCAGCCATTGTGGTATGAGGAAGCTCAAAGTAGCACATATGGAGAGATCCACATTAAGGACCAAGGTGTCCAGCTGACATATGAGTGGGAGCCCTGAGAAGAGTACAAGCTTTTGAGTTCTCTCCCTCCCTCAGTTAATGCCAAGGGAAGGAGAGATGAGAGGTTTCCATTAAGCCCTGTCCAATTGTAAATTCATGAGCAAAAGAAATGTTCATTATTTTTGAGCCACTAAGTTCTGGGCAATTTATTATGCAGTCCTAGTAAGTGGAACAATTGTACATCTAAAGCATGCTTATTAAATGCAAATATTGAGTATCTGAAATAAATAATATCTAAAAAACAGAAGGCTTCATCATATTTTTAAATTACAAACTGATATTTGGTCATTGTATGACCAATGCTGTCTATGAATAACTACTTATGCATGCTCCTTCCTTCCTTCTTTCCTTCTTTCTTTCATCCATCCATCCAGCCAGCCAGCCATCTAATTGTCTCTAAATTTTTCTCTCCACAACTGATTTATCGGATTGACCAGAATGCCGTCTGATAGATAGGAACCAGGTTCTGCCATTTCTGGAAACTCATATCATCACCTAAGAATCAGTTATACTACCTTTGATATTGAATTATCTACAATAACTTGGTATTGTTGTTGCTGTTACTGATATTTTCATTTGCATGTATAATGTTTTGGGAGAAAATTAGACTTGGTTTCAAAGGACCTAGGTTCTTACTTTAAGATCACCACTTAATGATTGTTATTTATATTTCTGGGCCTTAATTTCCTCATCTGTAAAAGGAGGAGAAAATAATTACCTCACGCGGTTGTAATAAATAAAGGAGAATATGTTTATTCTCAATCATCTAAGAGAAGTGAAGGCAAATATATGTTTATTTTAGTGCTCCAAGTTGGAAAACTATAGATCACATACACACACTTCTCTTTGAAATTTATCTCTCAGCTAGAATGACCACAGTTTGCATCCTAATTTGAATGAAAGAATTTGTGACTGTATCTGTAAAAACAGGAGAAACAGAGAGTAGACGACCTCAGCTAGTTTAGAACAGTATGTAGGAAAATAGATTATCAGGACATCTCCCTTTTCATCAGAAACTGAGGGGGGGGAAAACCCCTCAAATTCATTGGAATGTATTGGAAAGGACTGAATCGAGATAGTCTTAGCCTAAAATATCCTCTTATTCTTTGCACAGCTTGCACATTTTCTTTGATCTTCACCTTAATCCAGCCACTCTATATTCTTGCTATGTGTAGAGTTTAAATTTTTCATGAAGGAAATGTTTATTTTCTCTTGACAGACTGACAACTATCACAAAGCACAAGCTAATGGCAGTAGTAATCTCATAGCAAATTTAAATGCTACAGGTATTAGGAAAAAAATACATTTTAGTTCCTGATTCAAACTTGCATTCATTGCCCACTCCCTGATCCACTCAAAAAGTATTTAAATTAGTGACAAATGTAACTGGCTGACCAAAGCATGAAAAACACAAATATTTTTCTTGATAAAGTTTTACCAAAATCCTTTGTGGAACCTGAAAACTGAACACAATTTCTTAAATAAGAAAACTATACATCCCTTTTAGTAGCATGCATCGATTTAGAATTTTGTGAACTCCATTATTTTTCTCTTGTTGAAATCTTGTTAGAATTATGGCCTTCCATTTGAAGAACATTCTTTTTGGTTCATTTTGTACTGTTTATGAATTCACTTCTTATGTCTACCCTTGGTTATGAAAGCAAGACAAATTTAATGGGAATCACAAACTGAAAGGGGGGAAAATCCACAAGATCCTTTGGGCCTTTAATTAATGATTTATCCCCCTGTATTTTCTCTTTAGTTAACATTTGGGGAAAGTATGAATTGGAGAGTTTTCATGCTCCATGTCTCCCATGTAGTTCATTGAAAGAACATAATTACATTGTTCAGTGTGGCTGGAGACCTTAGAGGTTGGTGTCACATGCATATTAAGTAGGCACAAATATGTTTTTTAACAATATAGTATGGTCTGAAGAAGTGTAGCATGGTCACACCAATACTCACCCACCAGGAGGTGGTGCACTTTGCAAATATCAGTTGTTTTATTGCTTTTCTTAGAAAGAATAATGTCCAAGCAGCTTTGAGCTTATCTACAAACAATATTCAAACTATATTTAAATATGAATTCCCTTATCTCTCTCACTGGGAGGTTGAATTCAATTTAAAATATTCAGTTTCATCAACAATTCTAAATACTACATACTATAACAATTGTTTAGACCTGAATTTGAGTTTATGTTTTCATTTGTTCTGCACCTTTTTCTTTTTCTTTCTTTCCTTTTTCTTTTTTTAGTTTTGCTTACAATCTTAGAAAAGTTTTCCTTGATCCCACTAATATAGTTGTTTATGTACATATTTCCTGGTTGAACCTTGTGTTAGACTTCATGTGTATTTGAAAAATCCAGTAAGACTTAAAGGCGAATATAAGACATTAGTACAACACCTATGATAGTGGAAGGTATGTATGCTTGTATAAACATTTTGAGAGAAAAGAAGGTTTAGAATTTACACAGTATAAAGCATTTATTAGATGATGACTATAATAATAACATGAAGAGTTCTATCTTCAAGAGATACTCATAACCTAGTTTTGATGATACCAGTGCTGCAATGTCCGTTTCTTTAAAAAAAAGAAAATTCAATTTTTATTTATTTTTCAAACATGTGGCAAAGTACATTTTTCTAACATTTATGAAATAACTTGCAGCTATTTGTGCTCTCTTGGATTCCTGGGAGATTCAGCTGTAATTGAATGTGGTACCCATGAAAAGTTGATATATATATTAATAAGTTCCATGATTTCAAAAACTAGCACAGTAGTTTTGAAGTCCCGTTAATAAGGAGTTTATTTAAATACTTAACCAGCTTGCCCAGAGAGTAAAACCCAAAGCCATTAAAACAGAGCAATATGATCAAAAGTGATAGCCCCAATAAAGAAGAACAAAAATTCGAATCCATACTTCCTATCCATTGATTATTTTGGCTATTAACCCCAGCAGTTGATTTATAAAATGCATGCTAGATGGGACACATAAACATAATTTACCTCTGACACACCAAAAGGACAACCTGAAGCTTTCTACCTCCAGTGGCATTTATAAGTCTGGCATACACATTTCTCCAAAAAGCTATGTCTTTTTGACATCCGTTGCTCTCTTGGCAGTACAGCACTTTTGCGTGGTGCGAGCTTTCCTCTTAGCTTGCATAGCTATAAATTGCCAGGTGATGGGTTGTAAAGGGAGATCCCTCCTTTGTAGTCTCATTAATGAATAAGAAGATACAAAAATCAGACTTCTTACCTTGAACTGACAGACGCAAGTCACAGTGTCTCCAATTCTTAAACATTCCCCATCAAATTTACAGGTGTTGGTGTCACAGAGGAAAAGATCATTTTCTCTGTCATCATAACCTCAAATTTAAAGAGAATACTCCAGTCATTAAAAAATGTTATAGACTTTAGCCAAAAGAAAAAGAAAAAAAAAAGCACTATCTTGAAGCTTTAAAAGAATTGCTCTAAATTTTAATTCCAATAACCACAGCTGTACTGCAAGGTCATTCTCTACTGATAACCTCCAAAAACTAGTTAAGTGATCAATATTCATTTCTTTTTTTCACAATTCTTTTCTAGTCAATTCTCTTTTAATATTCTTTTTTGATATTGCTATTTTATTTTAACCAGGGTTAATACTGGCAGCAGTGAATGAAGGTTTAACACTTGCTTCCTAGCTTCCTTATTTTTTTCTTATTAAGTAGACTATAGTTTATGACCCCCAAACTCCACATTTTAGAAAAGAGCTGGTGATGGTCTCTGAGTGTCATTTTACCATTTCTCCATTCTTAATCATTCTTTTGCTTTAAGATCTGGAACAACCCCTTATTTGGAATGTCTCCAGACAAAGAGGAAACAAAGCCCCAATAATAAAGATGAACAGGCACAGTGTTTTCTGTGATGGTCTGTCTGGTTCAGATGAAGATTGATCACCTCTAAGTTAACAGGGGTGGAGGGGTGTGCCAGGTTCTTGGAAAATCTGCTTGGAAAACAAGTTTATTCTCTTTAGTTTCTGCAGATCTCCTTAAGATATCTGGCTAATAATAAATTTCTTAATTGCCAACCTCAATTTCACATTTAAGTTAGTTATTTCCTAAAACAATACTATACTTGGGATGCAGCAAACCAGTCATGTTGGACTACAAAGCTGTGACCCTTTCAAACAAGTGATTTTGCAGGTTGTTTAATATGTCTATGATAAGGCACCTAAAAAGTAATTAGACACCTGCAAAGTGGAACTTAGCTTTTCAAAAATAACATATATGCACCCATGAACCACGAATAAGTTGAAGTAAACATGTTAAATTTTATAAAAATACCAAATTTAAAAACTGCCAAAAACAGAACAAAGGCAATCTATTGACCCAAATCTAATAGGGTTGCAAATCTCAACCTGTCTTTAAAAAGCACAAACTACAATGATGCATAATAATTTTCCTCATGGAATTTACATCAGTAACAACTTAGGACTACATATTCTTTCATCCTATGAGTTACAATTGGTCATTCCCACTTCTCCAAAGTTACATACACTTCAGCTTACATACATCCTTGGAAGCCACTTTATTCAGAGCCAGATTTAACTACAGCAGAATTATATTTACAGAAAATGAAAAATTACATGCACACTTGCTAAAACTAGAACAGACCAGACCTAGGGGACAATACCCAGGCATGTTAATGCAATTTAAAATGCCAATGAAATCACACCACAATCCCGCCAGGGTATACTATGGGCTGTCATACTGAAATGCGAAGCCAGCTCGGAGTACAGCAACTCCCGTCCTCGGGCCCTATTTAATTAGGAGGCTTCAGCAGAGCAAAGTCTGCCAAGCTCTCGCTTTCAGACTCTGAAGGGACCCAGCGAGCAAGAAGAGCGCCTGACCCATTCCAAGGAAGCCTGCCCAGAAATGGAGTCAGCGTCCACCCGGGTCGGTTCCGCCCGCCTGCGCATAAGCCTGCCTGGCTCAGTTATGCCCACCCAGGCCTGGGAGACCGACGAATGAATCTTTTCTCAACTTCCCTTCACCATCAAGGAGCTTAGGGAGGCAAGAGAGAAGCATCTTTGGGCTGCAAAAACAACGTCTTTTGCAGCCAAGTAGACTAGGAGGATGTGAGAGAGGGGAAGAGAGGGAGGGAGGCAGGGAGAGAGGAATGAGGGAGGGAGGGAGGGAGGGAGAGAGAGAGAATGAATCTCTTGAAACCTAAGCTCCTTCAGAATCCGTGTGACCTGGTCTTGAAAGCGAGACCAGGGCACCTCATGGCACTTTTGCCAGGAATCAGTGTTTCCCCTGCAGTCATTATTTGATTTATTGCTTTCTCGCTTGTTCTTTCTCATAAAGTTATTTCTCGCTCATTTTAGCCAGACTTTTTTCTTTAATGATGGGAAAGGTACCGTTTTAGTCTTTCCCCCAAGGACTGGTGCTCTTTTCGATGGATCCACAAAACCATCCCGTTAATATGTCTTAACATACCCGCAGTGCTCAGTGCAAGGATGCGAAGGTCCCTACACCTGCACTTTCTGCCCACCCCAGACCCCCTCGGCCCCCAGCTTCCTTAGCGGCCTGGAATGGTTCCCTGTGCTCCTCTGGGTGGAGGTCGGTCGTCCCAGAGGTCTGGGGCAGTAGGAAGCGAGCGGCTGAAGAGACGCACCTAAGGTAGGCTGGTCTGCGCTGGAAACACGTTTCCCCCGCGGGGCTAAAGGGGTCGGCGGCTAGGGTTCTGGACTTACCGGAGCAGTTCCAGCCGGTGGGCGTTTGGCAGTCACTTAAGGAGGTAGGGAAAGCCGCGAGCTTCACCGGGCGGGCTACGATGAGTAGCATCACCGGCAGCAGCAGCAGCCAGCAAAAGCCCTCGCAAAGTGTCCAGCTGCTGCACTGCCGCGGGGACTCCCACAGCACCATGACTAGTTCGCGCAACTCTGCAGTAGCAAACGGCTTCCGAAGAACACGCGATCGCGGGGGCCGGGCAGCGGGCTACTGAGCATCCCGCGGACGGCGGCAGCACGGGCGGCGGCGGTGGCAGTGGCACCCGACAGGGAAGCAGCGGCCAAACCCGCGCATGGTCTCCAGAGTTTCAGAAACATCCAGCGACCCGGCCCAGCCCCGGGAGCGAGAGGGTCGTCCGCTGAGAAGCTGCGCCGGAGGCTCGGGGGGCTGCTGCCATAAGGAGGGGGCTCTGGGCAGCCAGCGGATCACGAGGAGACCGGAGTCCAGAGGGCAGAGGAGAGGAGTCCAAGGAGGTTGGGTGGAAGGAGAGTCAAAGCGCCCCACAGCCGAGCAGCCGCCTCTCGCGCTCTGCCGCCCGCGTCCCTCTGGCGTTTGGGAAGCAGCAGGTCCTTAGCCCGCCCGAGATCACGTGGGAAGAGGCAATCGGGCGCTGATTGGCGGAGCGGGATGCAGGTCCCGGGAGGGAGGGGTCGGCGAGGAGGTGCAAGGAGGAGGCGACGACGGATGCCACAGATGGGCTAGCTCGCCAGGCGCTGGCCCGAGTGGGGCTGCGCGGGGATGGCTCAGGGGAGAAGCGCGGGCTTCAGAGTGGGCGACTCCCACACCTTTATATACCACCTGCTCTTTCACTCTCCGCCCCAGGACGCCCCCTACCGAGTTCTGGGTCTGGTCTAGGGCCCCCAATCTAGCTCCCCTCTTCAGTGCTTGACCCCGGGCCTCGAGTACCCGCCGCGGCTGGGTGGCGTCTCTCCGAGCAGGAGCTGGTGAGGGCGGAGGTGGAGGAGAAGCGGTAGCAGCAGGGCTGAGAGGGGAGAGCGGGCCCAGAGAGGGTGTCCTGCTGGAGCCTGGGGCTCCTGCGTGCTGGACACGCCGCCTGTAACCGGATTCAAGCTGGGAATATCGCGGCCAGAGCCCAGGGACCTTTCTTGAGGGAGGTGCAGAGACCTGGAGAGGGTGAGAGGCGGTGGTGTGAGAAGAGCTCTGGCCGGCCTGGAAGCAGCAGCGGTTCCCACAGGAGCCTGCGACCCTGAGGCTGCTCGCCAAGCTGACTCAGCCAGGCTTCCAGGCTCTCTACTCTTCCTTCCTCCCTCTCTCTCTCTCTCTCTCTCTCTCTCTCTGCTCCCCTCCCTGGCCCCCTGCAGCTCCGACCCTGCCTGAGGAGCCGAAGGTTTGGAGCCTTCTCCTCATCACACGCTCCTCTCCAGCCGGGAACCTATTAGTGTGGCTGCCTGGGAGGTGCAGGTAAATGTGTTTCGGAGGTCAGATTTGGTCCGGACAAGTGGTCCGAGAGAGGCAAGGAGGGCTCGTCGGCATCAGCAACGGGTGGGTAGCAAGCGCAGCCTCCAGGAAGCGGCTTCCGAGAAGAGCGGCTCACTTTGGCGGAGCGGGTGGCGGCCCTGGGCGCTTTAGCGGATCTCTCTGCCGGATCTCCGGTGGCCTGGGGAGGCGAGAAGGTCTAACTCCACAGGAGTGTGTCGCTCAGTGCCCTTCGTTCTTTCGCTCCTGCCGGCGCTGAGCAAAGGCGTAGCGGGACCCGCCTTCCGCCTGCTGCATTCTTCACGCAGTTAGACACTCTTTAGCCTAATGGTATTTTAGTCGCTAGTAACTGGTCCAAGAGCTTCCCGGGACACGGATGGAGAGGAGGATCTTTCTGTAGTGACCCGGGTCGTTATTGCGGTCACAGTGTTTTGGATGACCTACAAGGAAGAATTTTCTTTTCTGTGCGATTGCTCAGCGATTCAAGATGTTTTTTTTTCCTTTTTTTCCGCCAGCACCCTCCTTCTAAATCTCTTTCCCTCCTTCTTCCCTTTCTCTCCTCTGCTTCCTCACTCCTTCCCTCCTACCTCCCTTCCTTCCTTCTATCCTTCCTTCCGCTCTCCCTCTCTTTTTCTCCTTCCTTCCTTCCTTCCTTCCTTCCTTCCTTCCTTCTTCCTAACTCCCTCCCTTCCTCTTTTTCTCTCTCCCCCTCTCTTTTCCTACCTTCCTCCCTCCCTCGCTTTCTTCCACCCTTCCTTCCATTTTCTTTTCTTTTCTCTTCTTTTCTTTTCTTTCCTTTTCTTTCTTTCTCTATTTCAAGAGCCCTCATCTCTGTTTCTCTCTTTTTAAATCTCATCTTTCCTTCTTTCCTTCTGGTCCCCCGAATTTAGAAAAGCATATTTGATGGCACCTCACAGGCAATTAGCGTCCATCCCCAATCACTTAAAAGAGGCACCAGTACACTTTGAAATCAGGGACTATCTGTCTTTCGCAGGCACCGCCAGAAAAACAAATTGTGCTCAAGCTATCCTTTTAAGTACTTTAACCTCCAACCTCCTCCCACTTCCTTGCTTTTTAACTTCTCCTTTGAGAGATGTGATCGTGCAGCACCTCAGAGCCTCAAAGAAATCTCATCTTTTTTCCTGTGTGAAACCCATCCCTTTATCTTACATCTCTGCCTCCGCCCCAAGATCACCCCCAACCCCCGCCCACTTCCAAAGATTCTGAACCTCAGTGTCTCTCACTCCCTGCAATTAAGCAGCGGATCCCAGCATTCTAGTCGGTGGCATCTCGCTCCTCACCGACAAAGACTCCATTAAAACAGATCAATTAGACCAGACGTTGGAGGCATCAGAAAATCGGCTTCTAGACAGCGCAGCTAAATTCTTTAAGGAAACTGAATGCCTGTTAGATAGAGCTGCCAGCCGATATTGCAAAAACAAGGAATCAGAGATGTCTCTCGCTGCACCCTTTCAGCAGAAGCGGCAACATAAATATACGCTTAATGTAGATCTAGATTTAACAACTCCCAGTTCAGAGTGAGAACATGTCATTTTCCATAGCAAGGCTGCTGTGGTAACTAATCAGGCTTATGAAAATAAGTCATGCTTAAAACTAAAGGCAAAGTCCTCAAAAGTGTTTATCAGTAATTATGATAATGAGACAGGACCTGTTAGGATTTCAACACTAGGCTATATAAGTAGAATTTTACAGAACCTCTTCGCAGAGTAAAACTGTTATTGAATTCTCTTTAAGTAAATTTTTGGCATGCTTTCTAATAATATGTACCCTTCCTAAGACATTTTCCCCAAAGTAACTTAAAACTCCAAAGGAGTTAATTACTGGTTGTGACTGGTTAACAAATGCAGTTACTTCCACAGAGGTTCTTTAAATATTAAACAGTTTCAAGCAAAGCCTTTCCAATAGGAATGCTGTGATTTTGTTCAGCTTGCTTTGTACTCAGTGTTACAGTGCCACCAAGAAACAAATTCTGAAACTGGCAAGCACCACCAAGTGGCAGAAGAACATCACTCACTGAACAGAGCATAGTATCATTGAACATGTAAATAAAAATATGTACATTATTTAACTTCATTATTAGTACCACAGAAATGACAGGAATTACATTTTATGACAATGAAGATTGGATTAGTGATTGGATGAGTGCTTGAACTTTTCCCCCAACAGTGTCAAATCAGTTTACTTATTAGAACTGAATTTAAAACTAGGTCTACAAATTGCACTTTGCATTGTGCATCATATGAATACTAGTTATACAATCCAATTGTGTCATGCCTTTGCAAAATGTCTTATTTTAAAAGAGTACAGAATATTTGCTTTCAATATTCCTGAGTTAAAACAATTTATTTGTGGCATACACATTCTAGAATCGACTCACAGGGTGTAGAGTTAAGTTGTCATATTTTTAGTAGAAACAGCACAGAAATTCTTTCCATAGAACTTTTTAAAAACATTTTTTCCCTCTACGTGGAAAAGGCATTGTTAAGAATTGTGAGATTACTCAGAGCTTTAATAGGGGTGCAGTTGGGGGAAGGGAGAAAAATTATTCTAGAACAAGAATAATTTAAGATAAATAAATGAACCTGGAGAAAATAAGACACTGCCAATCAGAACTCTATCCCCTTTCTGATCTCTACTACTTTCTGATATTTCAATAATGGTAAGCTATATAGTACGCTTCTTAAGTGTCAGACATTGTATCATGCAGGGTGAAACATATTTTTAATCCCCACAAAACCCTTATGAAACAAGGAATTCCTTATCTCCATTTTATAGAAAAGACATATAGCTTTTAAAGCATCAAGGGACTTGCCCAATGTGACAAAACTAGTCGATGGCACAGCTGGGACTCAGCACAGTTTTGTCTGATGTCAGAGCCCAAAACCTACATCATTGTTTTCTGCTGTATGACTACCTCTTAGCCTCTGAGAAAGGAAACTAACTGGAATATATTCATTCTGTCCATGCAGCCTCTTTGCCTTTTCTACAGAGTACCGGTAAGACCTAAATATTAAATCTCAACCATAAGCGATGAGATCCAGTGGTTTCCATACTTGCAATTCTAATGAATTAATTCATATGAATTACTTAAGAAGCTTTTTAAAAGATGGACAAATTCTAGGTCTCAATAGCAGGGATGCTAATTCAGAAAGTTTGGGATTGGACCATGGAATCTGTATTTTAATATTCACCCTTGTTTAAGAAATAAGGTACTACCTCTACCTGTATGACAAATGAAAGGATACCTGGATTCTTGCCCAGTTGTCACAGGACTTTTGGCAGAGAAGTTTCTAAGACAAGAGAAGGGTTTATACTAAAAAAACCCAAACAAACAAAAAAAAACAACGGTGTCGGGGGTGCCTGGCTGGCTCAGTCACTAGAGCGTGCGACTCTTAATCTCCAGGTCATGGGTTCATGTGTTTGAGCACCACATTGGGTGTACAGATTACTTAAAAATTTTTTTTAAAAAGGTAAAGGCTTATACTCAGTGTGTAGATGACTGTTATACACATCCATCTCTATATCTACCATTAAGTACTGAATTTCTCTAGCATATCTTTACCAAATATGTAGTAAGCTTCTATTATGTCTGACTTACTAGCTTTGTGACCATGGACAGTCTCCTCATTTGTAAAATATAGGTAATAGTAATATCTACCTCCAAGGGTTCTTCTGAA